ACCAATAACAGCCCCAGTAACAGCTCCATTGGACTCTGGGTATTGGAATTACTCACAGGAGCAGGGATGGCTTACAGGCAGCTACATCACCGAAGAGCCCATCCCCCAGCACAGGTGAGGAAGAAAGAAAGCTTCTGCTTCCTTGTCGCTCCCTGAATGACCTGTGGGTGGTTCACCAGGTCCGAACCTTCTTCCAGCCACTCAGACCTGGGAAATCTCTCTTCAGCCACTGTTGCTGTTTGCATAACCTTGGGGGATGGGGCTTCAGAATCTTGTGAGTTTAAGAAATTTCTGAGGAGGCTCACTTCCTGACTTTTAAGGAACCTTTCTCCAGGGAGGGAGGCTTGGCTGCTTTCATTCAGAGGGAACTGCTACAGGACAACACTGACCCCTGAAAATTGTGTAGCTGGAACCAACTGCACCATCTACCTGCAGCCTAGATCCCTGTTCATATTTCCAGTATGTGGGGATATTTGCCTACATACTGGATAGCTCTTATACCTTTCTTACACGGTTGAAATTTAGCAGATTCATTCTAAGTTTATAATCTCTGCCCTCCAACTGCGTGACCCAAGCAAGGAGTGACACGAGCTTCTTACAGAAACCAGTTAAGACAGAAAGACAGACATAAGATCACAAGCAAGGGTTGTTTTGACTCCTGCTTCTCCCTGTCCACCTTAGCCAGCTGTGGTGCTTTGAAAGAAAATGGCCCCCAAGGGAGTGGCACTATTAGGAGGTGTGGCCTTGTTGGAGGAAGTGTGTCACTGTGGGGGCGGGCTTTGAGGTCTCTTTTGCTCAAGCTTCCCTTGGTGTGCCTGCCAGTCAACTTCCTGTTGCCTGCAAGATGTAGCACTCTCAGCTCCAGCACCATGTCTGCCTGCAGGCCACCATGCTCCCCGCCATGATGATAATGGACTGAACCTCTGAACTGTAAGCTGCCACCCAATTAAATGTTTTCTTTATAAGAGTTGAAGTGGTCATAGTGTCTCTTCACAGCAATAGAAACCCTAAGGCACCAGCCTATTGTTAAACCCTGCTGTGCCCACTTCCTGGCTACCATAAGCAGAACCTGTCTTATCTATCGTGGCATTTTAGGGAAGACCTAGAGAAGCTGCAAGATTAATGCATGCAACTGCTGTCTGCAGGGCTGATCTAGGCAGAAAGAAAAGTAAATGCAAACGTTCCCAGGAGATGTAGCGAAGAGGATGTGGCCTAATGGGATGGTGAGCAGGTGCCATTAGAAGAGCAGTAAATACACACTAGCCCAGCTTCTGACTGAGTACTTTCTTCGAGAGGCACTGGAACTGTTACTGATACCATAGAAGGACCATTTATTTATCAGGAGAGATAAAGCAAGAAATTCTGTGTCTCCTTAAGCAGTACAGTAATGGAAGGGAATTTCTACAAGATTCCAGGTCGAACTCAAGACATTAAGAAGTCCATTAGAGCTGCGTGTGGTGATGTTCCCAAACTCTCCAGGAGGCTTCCAGGCCAGCCAGGGGCTACTCAATGAAATCCTGTCTTTAAAAAAAGTGTGTGTGTGTGTGTGTGTGTGTGTGTGTGTGTGTGTGTGTGCCCCCTACTAGTCAAGGCACAGTGCCTTACTTTTCACTGTGGTCATCGTGAGTACTGTAAATCTCTGGGTCTTATTTTTGTAACTGATATATTTCCACTTTATTCTCTGCTTTTGTGAGACTGACCTTTATATAATCTATAGTGGCCATAACACTTAGAATGCTGAAGCAGGAGGATCGTTTGAGCTCAGGAGTTTCATCAGCCTAGGAAACCTTGCCAGATCCAGTTTCAATGAGTTCTTCATAGAATCGAAATCATGTCATCTTTGACTTTCTGTAATTCCTTATTTCACAGGGTTTAATGTCCTCAGGGTTTATTCATGTCACATTGGATAACATTTTCATTTTTTTGAAGGTTAATTGTTCCATTATGTATATGCCACATCTTCAGGGTTTTTTTTTTTGGGGGGGGCGGTTATTTTGTTTTGTTGTTGTTGTTGTTGTTGTTGTTTTTGCTTGTTTAGGGTTTTCTTTATTTTGTTTCTCAAGACAGGGTCCTACCAGCTCCCAAATAAAGACAGGGAGACTTATTATTAATTATGAATGCTCGGCCTTAGCTTATGTTTGTCCCACTAGCTCTTTTAACTGAATTTAACCTGTTTCTTTCATCTATGTTTTGCCTTGGGCCTTTTTATGTTTCTTTTGTATGTCCTACTTTCCTGCTTCCTTCATGTCTGAGTGTCTGGCCCATGGCATCTCCCTGTCATCTCTTTTTCTTTCTTCCCTCAAGCCTAAAAACCTCCTCCTACTTACTCTCCCTGCCCAAAGGTCTTGCCTATACCTCCTCCCTCACTATTGGCCATTCAGCTTTTTATTAGACCAATCAGGTGCCTTAGGCAGACAAGGTAAAACAGCAAAACATCTTTACCTGATTAAACAAATGTAACACATCTTTGCATAGTTAAACAAATATTCCACAATACAGGGTTTCTCTGTATAGCTTTGGCTGTCCTGAAACTATGTAGATCAGGCTGAACTTGAACTCAAGAGATCCAACTGCCTCTGCCTCTCAAGTGCTGGAATCAAAGGTGTGCACCACCACACCCAGTGAGTTTTCTTCCTTCCTTTCTTTTTTTTTTTTAAGATAGGGCTTTCACTAGGTAACCAAGGTTGAACTTGAACTTGCTATGTAGTGTAAGCTGACCTTTAGTTCTAGATTCTCCCACCTTTACTTCAGGACATCTGGGATTACAGGCAAGTGATATCACACCTGGCTTTTGACTTGATATCTTACCTGTTGTGACTAGTGTCAAAATGCACATGTGAGGGCAGGTACTCTCTGGCACAGATTCCATCTCTCTTGGATATGGACCTAGTATTGGGATTGCTGGACCATGTGGTAATTCTAGTTTTAGTTTTTTGAAGAACCTCCAAGCTGTTTTCCACAGTGGCATTACCAATTTCCATTGCAAGCCGTAGCTTGAAAAGGTTTTCTTTTCTCCATCTTTGGCAAGCCTTTCCTTTTTGCCTTTTTGAATAATATTCATTCTGAAAAAGATGTAAGCTCATTTTAATTGCCTTTTTTAATATTTGGTTTGTAATGTTCAGAATGTTGTCATATACCTACTATCCATTTGCAGGCTTTCTTTTGGTAGATGCCTGTTGAGGTCTTTAGACCGTTTTCCAGCTTTAGGTCTTACACTTGAGTCTTTTAACCATTTTGAGTTGATCTTTGTATGTGAGATGAGATGTGGATCTGACTCTCATTTGATTCTTCTGCATATGGACATCCTGTTGTCCTAACAGCATTTAGGAGACTGTCATTCCCCGCTGTGTGTTCTTCACACATTTGTCCACAATCAATTGACTGTAAGAATGTGGATTTATTCCAGAGATCTCAACTCTACTCCATTGTCCAATGTGAACTTTGTTTTGTTTTGCTTTGCTTTTTTATGGCAGAGTCTCAGTAGTTAGTCTCCACTGCCCTGGGGCCCACTATGTAGCCCAGTGTGGTGGTCTGAATGAGAAATGCCCCTTATAAGCTCGGGTACTTGAACACATTGTCCCCGGATGGTTGTGCCTTTGGGAAGGTTTTGGGACCTTGAAAGGGCGGGGCTTGCTGGAGGAAGTATCTCACTGGGGGTGGGGGGGAGTGTTCACTCCCTTTGCTTCCCATGCGAGCTGAAGATGTGATCTCCCAGCCTCCTGCTCTGTTTCCCAGCTGCCATACCTCCCCCAACATTATAGATTCTCCCTCTGGAACCAAAAGCCAAAATAAACTCTTTTTTTCTGTAAATTGCCTTTGGCCACTGTGTTGGCTATTCCTGGTTAACTTGACTACATCTGGAATTAACTAAAACCCCAAAATGGAGGGCACACCTATGAGGGATTTCTGCTTAATTTGAAGTGGGAAGATCCACTTCTAATTCAGATCTTTTGAGATAGGAAGACAGATCTTTAATCTGGATCTGATCTGGACCACAGCTTCTGCTGGAAGCCTATATAGGGACATGGAAGAAGGAATATTTTGCTCTTTGCCTTATTGCCCTCACCTTGCTACCAAGTCCATTCCCTTCATTGACATTAGAGCTTACTTCAGGATTCCAGTGTATACAGAAGATCAGCTGAGACATCCAGCCTTGTAGACTGAACTGCTGGATTCTTAGACTTTCATGGCCAGCTATTGTTGGATTAGCTGGACTACAGCCTGTAAGTCATTCTAATAAATCCCCTTTCTACCCACACACACACACACACACACACAGAGAGAGAGAGAGAGAGAGAGAGAGAGAGAGAGAGAGAGAGAGAGAGAGAGAGAGATATTAATTATGTAAGTTTTGTTACTCTAGAGAACCCTGACTAATAAAGTCATGTTTTTTTTTATCACAGCAACAGAAAAATAGTAATGCAACCAGGATGGCCTCAATCCTGCAGCAAGTCTCCTGCCTCTACCTACTGTGAACAAGATTGTGGATGTGAGCCATCACACATGATTCTTGTTGAAGGAGAATGTGCTGTTGTTTTCTTTTCTGACTGCTGGGGATTGAACTCTGGGCCTGTGCTTGTACATGTTCTACAACTGAGTTAGTGTCAACCTCAGAAAGAATACATCTTTATTAATATATTCAACTCCCAGAATGACATTATTTGTAACTTTATCTCATTTGCTGAGCCTTTATGGCCTATACATCAGAAATATTTACTCCTTGGCCCTTTCAGAGAACATTTACTGACCCCTGGATTATGTTGCCATTCCCCAACTTACATTATAGAAGGTACATTCTACTTTTAATGTGGCAATGTTTTTCCTTTTGAATAATCTATAATCTTCTTTATAGACAATGATAAAGAACCACTTATTGATGTGTTGATTTTTTTCACTATTTTCAACAATTACATATCTCTCCCTAGAGATTATCATGGAAGAAATCACCAAAGACTTCATAGGTTTAGAAAAAAAGTTCATGAAAAGACTCCAGATGAATGTTTTGGCCAGATGTCAAGTGTCCTTTTATTTTTAATGGTTTTGAGTTTCTTGATATAGGCTCTTGCTGTTTGGTCCAGACTGGCTTCTGCTTCAGTTTCTTAAGGGTTGGGATTATAGGACTGTTCTACCTTCTTAAATATTCTCTTCATTGAATCTGGAAAGAAAGTAAAATGATGTTCAATAAAGGAATTATGAGTCAGCCACATTTTTCTTCCCAGAAAACTAACCACAAGACCCCTCACAGTCATGATTTGGAGGGCTAAATATTGAGGTGTCTCCCTGCTCCCTTCTGAGCCTTGGGTGGCCTTGAGCCCCATCCTGACAGCATGCATGCAGGAAGGGCTTAGTAGCTTTCTTCTAGTCACTAACTTTTCTGGTGGAGGTTCTGGGTGCTACCTCCAATAATCTTTCCTCCATATGCTGTAGTTGCCAGAGCTCTTCCTGGTACATTCCATTCTTTGTGTCTCCCATGAACTTGTTCTCCTCCACAATGATCTCACTTGCACTTTGTGAGGTAGTTCTTGGCTATGGTTCCTAAGAGCTCCAAGACTCTTCCTGGCAGAAGCATCCACCTTTCTGATATTTATTAACCCTACGCATCCATCTCTGGGTTGTCTCTTTTGGCACCTCAGCTTAAGTATGAAGGGTAAGGAATTGAATGGCAGATGATGCCCATATTGGTGACCAGGCTGTAGAGTTTCAGACTCCTGGAAAAGGAAATCATAGGGACCATGGAAGCTCTGTGTGTCCTCTGTACCCTGATGCACAAGTTCCAGTTCAGGATGTTCTCAGTCTGAGCTGCTATTCCTTGCCCTGCAGCCTCTTGAGCATTACCAGCCTGATAAAGCCAATACCCTGGCCAGCCTGGGTCCCCACTGCCTTGGGGTAAATAAGTAGCAGGAGGCTGGAGACCTGTGAGAAAAGAATATAACCACCTCATTGAAGAGAGACCTGGAGAGAACAGGAAGTGGTTTTTATTGTTTGTTTATGGTTAAAAAACAACAAAATAACATAAAAAAGGATCACCTCAACATTTGTGTGTGTAGTTTAAAAACATTTGCATACATCCACACTGCTGTGTAATGGATCCCTACAGCTTTTTTTTTCTTCAGCAAAACTGAAACTCTATGCTGTTTGTGCAATCTCCTCTGCCCTGCACACAACCTTCTCTTTGTGTTTATACTTGTTCTGAATGTAAACAAAGCGACTTCATATAAGTGGATCAATATAGATGGTGTTTGTTTATCTATATTGGCTTATTTTACTTAGCATACTGTCTCCAAGGTTCAGAAACTAGTTCAGATAAAACTTCTCTTTTTTCTGGAGAATAGAAACCAAGGTCACTAGCAGGCATGAGACTCTGAAAGTTAACGCAGAAGAAGGAATGGAATAGTTACTGAAGACTCCTAGAAATGACATGGGTAGGGAACTGGCAAAGGAAGTCACTAAAACCCCACTCGAGGTCATGGAATTAAAGTGGAACCTGTCAGAACAGTCATGTGGGGAGAGGTTTTGGTGTGGGGGTGTTTCCCATCCCCTTGTTTGTCTTAAGGATTTGTTGATTTCTTAATTTTTTTTTTCAAGACAGGGTTTCTCTGTGTAGCTTTGCGCCTTTTCTCGAACTCATTTGGTAGCCCAGGCTGGCCTCAAACTCACTGAGATCTGCCTGCCTCTGCCTCCCGAGTGCTGGGATTAAAGGCGTGCGCCACCACCGCCCAGCCCAGGATTTGTTGATTTCTTATACAGCCCACTTGACGGGTGTCTGTGACAAGTAAGTGGGCAGTTGGCCATAACTAGGGTCAAGTTTGACCAGATGAGCTCAGCAGTAGGGAAGAGGGGAAAGGAATTTAGGGAACAAGCAAGGGGCTGTTTTTGCTGATGTGTCTGGGATGCTATGAGGCAAAGCAGAGAGGCTAAGCATGAAAAGATCAGTCAGCTGTAGAATGGGGAGGTAGAACTGTGGAATTGCAGGCGTTATTTCTTCCCTTTGGTTTCTTGCCTTTCCAACTCTTTCTCCCTTCCGTGGTCAGAACATCCTCCTGGTGTAAAAACAAGTGCCATTGCGTCTTTCAAGCCCTCTAGGTCACTTGTGGGATTGTGGGTAGCAGCTAAACCTTGTCACAACTAGAGGCTTTGGGAACACTTCCAGTGCTTCTACAGCATCTTTAATGCCTTCAGCATCTTCACGTATCTGAAGGCTTTATCCTCCATCACACCTCCATGTTACTGTTTCTGCGTGGGTGGCGTCTCCCCATCTCTACACTTGACTGTCACTTATCCGCTGGGTTGCAGCTTAAATTCTGATTCTTTGTAGAAGCCTTCCTTGATCTTCCCTGGCCCGTATCGAATGACCCTGATCCACACTGGGAGAGCAGCTTACTTTGACCCCATTCTAGCATTTAATTTGCTTTCTTCATAGTGCTCATTTCACGGCTTATTTATAGCTGAACTATCTGTATGTATGTTCTGTTCAGGAAAGGGACCCTGTGTGAATAGCTCTCCCTAAATATGAAGCAACCAAGAGTGAATTGCTATGTTTTCCTTTTCACTTTTATTAGCCTTTATTAGTTGGACAGACTAATGGATTTCATTGTGACATTTCATACACGTGTATAATATATTCTGATCATCTTTTAATCACCTCTTATTATATCCAATCCCCCTCCCACGGTTCTCCTTTTGTACTTCCAAACCTTCCTTCCACTTTCAGGTATTATTTCTATTGTTTCTTTAATAATTTCAATAATAATTTAATAATTACATGTATATGCGACCTGTTGAGTCTGTTTAGTGTTGCTATATAGCCCAAGCTGGCCACTTGGGTTATATAACCAGTTAGGAAGCAGTCATTAATTGCCTGTAGTTCTTTATCTAAGGGTTTGTTTGTTTTCACACAGGAACCTCATTTAACCAAGGCTAGCCTTAAACTCACTATGCAGGCAAGATAGTCTTGAATTTCCGAACATCTATCCTGTCTCTATGTCCCAAATACTAGTAGTATTAAAAGCTCATAGTACCACACCCAGCCTAAGGTGTTCTTTAAAATTAAAATTATTAATATGTCATGGATGTTTTTTTGAAAGTAATTCCACTTTTTTTCTCAACACTCTTTAGCTTCCAGGATGGCTCATTCATCAGAGTTCCTCCTTGTTTGGTGGCTAAATCTTTAGATGGCTAGCTCTGTATTCTATCTTCCGTCATATATTATCTTAAATATATTGTAATATTCATTCAATTCATTCTCTATATCTTGAGATACATCCATATCTCCAACTTGGAAATTTCTTAGGTGCTCCATTTTCTCACCCCCAACCCTCCACTGCACATTCTGGACTTCTTACCTCTAAAAGTTACCTAAGTCACCCTCGTATTGTGTCTCACACCTGTGTCTTCATTACAGGTAGCCACCAATCTACTTAGCAATTTTCCACACGCTCCTTACATCGTGCTGGCTACTTTTATGTCAACTTGACATAAGCTAAAGTTATCTGAAAGGAGGGAACCTCAACTGAGAAAATTCCTCCATAAAATATAACTGTAGGACTTGTTCTTATTTAGTGTTTGGTGGGGGCAAGGCCCAGCCTATGCCATCCTTGGGCTGGTGGTCCTGGGTTCTAAGAAAGTAGGCTGAGCAAGCCAGTAAGCAGCCCCCCTCCATGGCCTCTGCATCAGCTCCTGCCTCCAGGTTCCTGCCCTGACTGCCCTCAGTGATGGGGGGCATAAACTGAAATAAACCCTTTATTCCCAGAGTTCTTTGGCCATGGTATTTCATCACAGCAATAGCAACAACGTAACCAGTGCTGTTCCCAATGAAACGTGGCATCCATGCTCTCTCACCCTGGATCTGGGCAGAGTCTGTGATGGCCGTGACCATCATAATACAGAAGAAGATATAACAGGTGACTTCTGAGGATGCACAGCCAGAAAAAAAAAAATGAGCTTTTCTGCTTGGTCTTCCTCCTCTGTGGGGATGTCCTGCCTTAGAAACCAGTCATCTTTGTGGTATGATTGAGCATTCCTTGGGTATATATGCCCAAGAGTGGTATGGCTGGGTCTTGAGGTAGATCAATTCCCAATACAGTTATTGAATGAATACTGTGAATATAACCAATGAATACCACAAATGTAATTAATATCATGAGTGTAATTAATGAATATTATGAGTGTAATTAATATCTTGAATTCATGCCACTGAATTGTGAACTTAAAATTGGTTACAATTGCAAATATTATATTCATTAAAAAAATAAGGTGGAATGTAATTACCATTCATTATATATGAGTATAAATTGAAAAAAGGAAAAAGAAAAAAGAAACCAGTCATCAATGCTATGACGAACCTCAGATGCTGCGGTGGAGAGTTCATGTTTCAGCTGCTAGGTACAGTGAACCATCACTTACCCACATGTAGTCGAATGGGCAGATTCAGACGATTCCAGGCCCCAGCTATGAAGCCTTTCAGCTGAGGAATGAGATGTAGGACAGTGTGGAGGTTTGAAAGAAAAAGACCCCCATAGGCTCATAGGGAGTGGTTCCATTCGGAGGTGTGGCCTTCTTAGACTAGACGTGGGCTTGTTGGAGGAAATGTGTCTCAGTCACTTCCTGCCGCCTTCGGATCCAGAGGTAGAACTCTCAGCTACCTCTCCAGCGCCGTGTCTGCCTGCATGCCGCCATGCTTCCCTCCATGACGACGACGACGACGACGACGACGACGACGACGACGATGATGATGGACCGAACCTTTGAACTGTAAGCCAGCCCCAGTTAATTGCTTTCCTTCGTAAGAGTTGCTGTGGTCACAGTGTCAGCAATGGAAACAGCAAGACCCGCAGAGACCATCTTTGCTTTCAGTTGCCTGAGTTCCTGGCTCACCGGAGCCACCGTAAGGAGCAGGTGGTTATGTTTTATGATAATGTGTTACATAGCTACTTTTCTGGTCCCTGTGACAAAACAATTGACTAAAACTCCAGGGAGGAAGGACTTATTTTGGTGGCGGGTTGGAAGACACAGACGGTGCACTGACAGATGGTGTGGTGTCTACGGTGCCTCTCGCTGTGGCATCAGGGATGTAGGCGGCTCCTCACAGGGTGTCGCATAGGAAGTAGGTGAAAAGTGTGACAGCAGCACATTAAAGCCAGGTTTGGTGTCCTGCACCCGTAATTCTAGCTGAGGCAGGAGCTTAGAGCTCTGGAGTGAAGGACCATCCTGGCTACATAGCAAAATCCGGTCCAGAAAAGGGGTGGAGAGGGAGATTGTAGTGATGGTCCAGCAGTTAAGAATGCATGCTTCATTTTGATAGAGAACCAGAGTTCAGATGCCAGCACCCTCGGGGAGCATTTTACAATCATCTGTAACTCCAATTCCAGAAGATCTGATGCCTCTGGCCTCCCAGGGCTCCATACCACCTGCACATATATACATGTATACATAATTTAAAATAATAAAATTAAATATTTTTTAAGAGGAAAAGAAAAAAAGAGTCCACAACCATTTATGGCGGTGTGTGGTAGCAGGTAGGCCACAAACAGGAAGCAGAAAGAACAAACTGGCGGTGCCAGGAGGCTTTTAAATCTCAAACTTTACCCCCAGTAACACATTTCCCCCAGCAAAGCCACACCCCTTAAGGCTCCATAAACAGCCTCACCAACTGGTAAACACATGTACACATTCCCAAGAATATGGGGCGGGGGGAGGCATCTCATTCTACACATGAAGATCTTTCTCTACCACATACTGATAAATAGGAGGAACACAATGCTAGGAACTTTGCAAGAATGCATCTGTGCGCATTCTGTAGGGAGGAATCTGCATGTACTGCAGATTGCTGATGATTCTTGTGTGTTAACCTCCCACCATACACAAAACACACGGGGGTGGTGGGGGTGGGGTGGGGTGGGGTGGGGTGGGTAAGACTCCGTGGCCTTGGATCTGCAAACCCTACCCTGCTCCTGGGGAGGGAGACATATGGAGGCAACGCAATCTCACAGATAAGAGCCACCTGGCCAGAAGGATAAGCCTGAACTTTTAATTGATTTTCTTTGTTCTGGTTCTTCTATAAAACTGCTAACGAGGGAAGAATTTATAAGGTGGATTTCACTCTGGCTTCCTAGATTGCCATCTTCTGGGAGAAAGCGCAGCTTGAAGACTCAATTCCTGGCTTTTGCTGACATGACAGACACCAGTCTGTTTACAGTACATGGTGACGTTGTGCCCAGGCATGTACAGCCAATAGGCACAGGGTCTGTTAACAGTATACCATGTCAATGTGTCCAAGCACATACAGTCAACAGGCACAGGGTCTGTTTACAGTACACCTTGACATTGTGTCCAAGCACATACAGCCAACAGGCACAGACAGGGTCTATTTACAGTACACCTTGACATTGTGCCCAAGCATATACAGCCAAGCTGAAGGTTCTGAAACTGTGAGTCAAGACAAGTAGTTCATTCCAAAATCTGTCAGGTTTTTGGTCACAGCTGTGCAAAAATAACAAATACACACTATTTTATAAATAGCCTTTTCAGAAACTGTCAAACCCTGGGAATACATATGTACATAGACATTATAAATAAACAATGTTGTATTTGGGGATGAGTAGATCCTGGAAAGGAATATGAAAGGATGATCAATTACCATCAGTTATAAATTTGGTGTGTTTGGTGTTTATTGATTGATTTATTGATTGATTGATTATAGTGATGGACAGAACTCAGGACTAGGAAAGACCTTTAACATAGCACTCCATCTCAGGTTCTGTTTTCATATTTTGCAAAGCCATCTGAGGATAGTCTGGAGACACCAAAGAGACAGTGTGGTGGTTTGAACAGGAATGGCCCCCATAGATTCAAGGGTTTGAATGCTTGCCCAGTATGACACACAGTTCACTTCCTGTTGCCTGTGGATCAAAATGTAGACTCTCAGCTGTCTCTCTACCATCAAATCTTCCTGCATGCTGTCATGCTTCTCCGCCATGATGATAATGGACTAAATGTCTGAACCTGTAAGCTAGCGTCCATTAAATGTTTTCTTTTATAAGAGCTGCTGTGGTCATGGTGCCTCTTCACAGCAATAGAAACCTTAACTAAGACAGACAGCTTTTCTGAATCAAAACAGAAAATGGTTAATAGAGGTCATTTTTTCCCACCTAGAACTTTGTATCCTTACCTGCCCTACAATTTCTTCATTTTATGTGTATGGATGTTTTTCCTGCGTGTGTGTGCTTGGTGGATGTGAGGAATTGAACTCAAGTCCTTCAAAAGAGCAGCCAGTGCTCTTAACCACCGAGCCGTTTCTCTAAGCCCTCCTTTCCTTCTTTTAAAAAATATACAGATATCCCTGTTGTGGAATATTATTTTAACCAGGCAAAGATGTGTTGCACTTGTTTGTGCTGCGTCTATTTAATTATGTAAAGATGTGTTGAATTTGTTTCACCTTGCCTGCCTAAGGCACCTGATTGTAACAGGAATCTTAAAGGGCCTTATTAATAAAAACAAACCTGGAGGAAGATTTTGGGGTAAATTCTGAAAGATCAGAGAAATAGAACAAGCCGTAGCCAACCTCACCTTGCCAATTCCTCAGCTGATCTTGTTTCCTCAGACTGGAGGCCTCTGAGTCCTCATCTGAACGGATCTCAGCTGAACTCCTGCTAAAATCCTAAAAGCTTAACCAGCCAGTTCCTGGTCCTCACACCCTGTATACCTTTATGCTTCCTATCATCACTTCCTGAGATTAAAGGCATGAGTCACCATGCCTGGCTGTTTCCAGTGTGGCTTTGAGATCCATCTGGAATGCTAGGGATTAGAGGCGTGTGTGCCACCATTTTCTGGCCTCTATGTCTATCTAGTGGCTGTTCTGTTCTCTGACCCCAGATAAGTTTATTAGGGTGCACAATATATTGGGGGACACAATATCACCATACCTGATTGGTCTAATAAAGAGCTTAACGGCCAATAGCTAGGCAGGAGAAAGGATAGGCAGGGCTGGCTGACAGAGAGAATAAATAGGAGGAGAAATCTAGGCTTGGAAGAAAGAATGAGAGAAGAAGGGAGGAGAGAGAACAAGAGAACATGCCTGGGACAAGAAGCCAGGCAGACTTAGAGAAGTAGAGACAGTAAGATGGGCAGAAGGAGGGAAGGTAACAAGCCCGGAGGCAAAGGTAGATAAAGAGAAACAGGTAAATCAAAGTTAAAAGAACTAGCCAGAAAGGAGCCTAAGCTAGGCCAAGCATTCAAAACTAATAACAAGTCTCTGTGTCATGATTTAGGAGCTGGTTGGTGGCCTAAAAAAAAAAAAAAAAAAAGCTTGGTACATATCCCCCAAGAAATGCGGACCTTAAAAACCTAGTCAGTAGCTTAGTAGCTTCATATTCAGGTAGTTGCTAAAACAATAATGATTCCTGGGAGAAGGAAGAGATAGTAGATGCAAAACCTTCCTTCTTCAGAGGCCTGTTCTGGCCACCCTGTTTCCATGAACCTGGCCTTTGCATCTGGGGTGAGGCGGGCAGGCTCTGTGGTGGAACACTGCCTTGTCTTGCTGAAGGCCAACCACTCCCCTGTCTCTGATACTTAGGATGAGCATGCAAAGAGCCTTGCAAATCAGTTAGAGGGAAAACACATGGCCTGGTTATGGCTCCTCTGTTTATCTTCTATGTCACCGCACCCCAGGACGGAAGGCTGAAGATTTGCCAGCCTAGCCATTCATCAGAGAGGCTTTTTGAATGGGTCATTTAATTTCCCCCACAGGTATCTGAAGTTCTAGCTATACTGTACATTAGGGGAAGGAGGTGGGAGGGGTATCTTTAAATGGTTTGTACCTTCTCAGAGACCGGCAAAGGGGAGCGGTTAGGTTGTAGGATGTAGGCAAGTTCATAAATAGAGGAAAATGTTCCTATCCACAATTTTCCCTGGCTCCTTCAAGTTGCATCTCTTGAACCAGTGTTTTCCCCCCACACACAGGTAGCTCTGCACACAGAGTACTTAGGTTGGAAATGAAAGCCCCAAGATGTAAACTTCTGAAAGTCTTGACTATGCTGCTTACAAACTGAGTCACCTTAGGCGAGCTGTTCACTTTGTCATGCCAGGTTCTTTGTGGAGAGGAGAAAAATAGTGTTAGAAATGAGATAGCTAACACAATTTATAGCAATGTTATTATTACAAGAGATGGTCCTTGTCTCCGATGGGCTGTGCACCTGGGACACGGAGGTGACCAGGACACTACTTGGTCCTCAAGGATCTTAGATTCTGATGCTAACTTTTAAGTACCTTTGATATGTGTAGGTATGTGTCATGCATTTGGTAAGGACTTTCATGGTGGTGGTGGTTTTTACTCTTTTGGGGGGCCCACCACCCAGCTCCCCAATAAATCACACACAGAGGCTTATTCTTACTTATAAAATGCCCTGCCTTAGCTTGGCTTGTTGCTTGCCAGCTTTCCTTAACTTGAATTATCCCATCTACCTTTTGCCTCTGGGCTTTTCCCATTCTCTTACTTCTGTAAATCTTACTTTTACTCCATGGCTTGTTGTGTAGCTGGGTGGCTGG